ATTTATTAGTTTCACTTTTAGTGCCACAAAATATAGCAGGGCACTGATCTCCACTGAAGTACCGAAAGTGTTAATGTAGCAATCAGTCCCTATGTGCTGGGATCTCACAAACTCACTATTTTTTTTAAAATCTGTTTTTATTATTTAGAGGTGCAAGCAGCAATGAACTGCTGCTCGTTACATCTATTATTCAGAAGTTTATGACACTTATTTCCATATTATTATTCTAATGAAGTGTATTACAGCACTAGAAAAAGTGCAGAGGAAGGCTAAAAAAGTATTAATAGGAATGGACATTTTAGCTATGAAAAAAGATTAAAATATTTAATTCTCTTTAGTTTGGAAAAACAGCAACTCAGAGGGGATATGATAAGATTATACAAATATATTCAGAGCTAATACAAACCATTTTCTGGAAATATATTCACAAACCATGCTATACAGAGGACACAAGGTCAAACATTTAGGCTGGAAGAAAGAAGATTTAGACAAAAGGAAAGAAAATAGTTTTTACAGTGAGAACAATAAGAATGGGGAATTCTCGCCTGAAGAAGTAGTTTTATCAGAGTCCATACAGATGTTTAAACAGCAACTGGACGGATACGTGCAAAAACATAACGTACAGGGATTTCATTTTTAATAGGTAGAGTAATAGGTTCTTGATCCAAGGAGAGATCTGACTGTGATTCTGAGTTTGACAAGGAATTCTTTCCTAGTTTGTTGCACAATTGGAAAGCACATGGAAAGTTCATGGAAATTTATCAATGGTATAACGGGTGTTCCCACTGATCAGTAAAAATAAATTTTGCCATCCATTAGCATACCAGTTGATAAGTTATATATAACCTAATGTTACATACAATACTAAATATAAACACATTGGCGATAATCCCAGAAAGTAAAATAGAATTAGATAAAATTATTAACACATCAACAGAAAAACAAACAACTTATTAATCAATGCTCCCCATATCAATTCTAATGGATGATATCATAATTAATCACTGCAAATGACAGAAACAACAATTAACTAACCTTGCAAAAGCTGCAGGCGAGAGATCTATAGCTTTTGCAAGCTGTTTTTAGATATGAAACAAATGTATAATTAACCCTTTAACAACATTAGGTTGTCAATACGTCCTACCTATACAGGGTTTCAACTCCATTAGGGCGTATTCACATGTCCTCCAGTTTTGGTGTGAGCAGACATCTGAGGAGAAACTGCGTGCTTGCGCTTTCAATATATGCATAGGATTTTACAATTTAGAATGATCTTACCAATTTGCGTACTTACGCATATACAGTTCCCAGAGCAATTGTTCATTGTCTTTAAGCCCTATATTTTCACCCTTGTGCTCAGATTACCAAATCCAATCTATCCAATCTATATTGGGACCCTTCACAGTTACTACACTGTTGTATGTCATCTCTTGCACCTCATCCTCCAACACCATCGAATAAAGGACTTCACAATATCATGTAAAGCTCTGTTTATGAAGATGCGTACCATTAAGAGGTCTCCTTTGTGTTTTGGCTGCAGAACTGGCACTTATACATTCCAGGAATACTTTTCTAGATTACATCACAATTAGAGCTAATTGCAAAGCCAACTATACTACAAGCAGCTAATTATTTTTCCCCAATTCATACACTTAAGCATGATCTAGAAAAATGGGATGAATACCCTTTTTTTCTGGGTAGAAAGATTATACAACATGAAAGCAAATGATTTGCTAAATTCTTAGCACAAGGTCCCTTTGACCCAGTACAAGAAAGAACAGTCAGCCATATAGTCCTCTCACATGGCATAATAAATACCACCACTACTTCTTAGGAAAGTAACTTGTCACCACAGGTTTGGAGAATATTTGCCATGTACCGTCTTCGTAGGTCTCTGACCAAGGGTCCCACCTGAATTCTTATCAGCTGCTTAATCTCTATTCTATAGTTGTCTTGTATTTTCTCCATGTTCAAAGCATAGTGCTGTAGAGCATTGTTTCTAGATTCTAACTTCATCCTACATACTGTGTACAGTGTACAGATTGTTAAGTAGTACTTCTTATATTGACACAAACGTGTACAATTCCCCTCCCTTGTAAGCTCACAGTTCTTCTCCTTTCGTTTCAGTGTGTCTATATTTATGCACTGCTTATAAATCAACACTGTTATTTGTGCATAAATTGTAAAGCACTAATTTTCTTAACTGAAAAACAAAGATTGCTGGAGGCATCAATTAATTCTCAATATTTGTGCACAGAGATTAAGCACATGCACTCTTTACTTACCGACTGAGTTCTGTTCCTACAACTAGGTTTTAAAACGAATTGCTTGGTAAGCAAGGATGCCTCATGCCAGCAAGACAACCAAGTCTCGCATTCGCTATAGAGCATGTCTATGTTCGGGGAATTCCCACAAACATAGACCAGCTCACTAGTGCGGGAAAGTCCTTGAGTTTATGTTTAGGGGAAAATCCCTTGGGCATAGTACAGCACTCTAGCGCTGGGAATCCCTTAAATCTATGTTTGCGGAATACTCAAGACTCCGATTCAGGGGATTTCCCATGCTAGAGAGCTGGTTCCATGTCCAAGGAGTCGGTAAATAGATTAAGTCGGTAAGTAGTTAAGTGATGACTACCTGTATACATTTACACCAGGAGAGAGATATGCAAGTTCTGTCACTGCTTGTAAATAATTATTGTAATGGCCAGATCTCCTCCATAAGAAGATGAAAATGCTTCAATCCACACAGCTAAATGGAAAATAACCTTTATTCTTACTTTACAGCATGGCTAAATCTACGTTGATGTGATTCGTACTATCATTTTTCAATCTACAAAAGTCAACATTAAAGTCTATGGGAATTTTTGCAGATTAATCATTTGCAAAGTTTTCAAACAGTATTTAATCGTTTGGTAAGCTTATAAAATCAAGGCCTTTGTCAAAGCAAGCCATGTTAAAAAAACAACAAATAATTAAGCATCCGTCACGGGGGTGGTACCCTAACTTACAGGTATGGCAATCCCACAAACAGATAGATGTATAACCGGTTGCATGATTCTTTGGAAACCCAACACGCAGGCTGTAATAGAAAAACGTATATCGGAACTTAGAATGGCCGGACTTTACGTTATACAGAAAATGAATGGTCAGGGACAAGCAAAGGTCAAGGGAGCCAGAAATCACAGAAGCGAGAAATACAAGCCGAGTCATGGGAACCAGAAATGACAGAAGCGAGAAATACAAGATGAGTCAAGGGAACAAGAAATCACAGTAGCAAGGTACAAAAGCCGAGCCAGGAATACGATAAGGAGAATGGTCAGATAGCCTAGGTCAATACACAAGATACACAGTAAAGCAAAGCACTATTGAAACTGTAGTTAGAACCACAACAGTGCACAGTGCTATGGGTGAGCCAGACATTTTATAGGTTGGATTTTTAGATTTGAAGCCACCCCTCTTCCCCTCCCAAAAACTCTCGAGTTTTGGCGGGCCGTGACATCATTTGCGTCATAAAAGGGGGCAGAGATACAGCGGCTGGTGTTTGAACCACTGGAGGGAAGTCTGGGACCATGGAGAGGTACCTTCTGCATCTGCTGACTTGTGACAAACTAGGTAAGCATGACAACTGGGCCGGACTTAATGTTAATACGGATAAAGACAGAGTCAGGAATATCCAAAGTCAGGGATATAGAAGGATGAATAAACAGAATAACAAGCCAGTTCAGGATACCAGAAATACGTAAAGTCAGAAACAAGCCGAGGTCAATATCAGAATATAACAAGAGAGACTTACTATTAGCACTAACGTATATCAGGACAGGAACCACAATAGGGCATCGAATAAGGACCAGAACAAGCCTTATATAGATTCATATGAGTTCCCATTGGTCCATGTCATCTCTGCGACCCCAAACAACATGGGGATGCCTAGATGACGTGATCCCTTAACCCCTTAATGACACATGACATGTGTGACATGTCATGATTCCCTTTTATTCCAGAAGTTTGGTCCTTAAGGGGTTAAAGGGAGTGTCATCATGGCAATAACTTTTATTTATAGGGGCTGTAGTTTGCAGGACCGAAGGTGAGTATAATCCTATTCAGGCGACGCAGCCACGTGAAGTGTTCGCGCAGCCTGAGGACTGGAGTAATGTGACCACCAGGTGCATTGTATCCTCTTTTATTCTAGTACAAAGAGGATAAAATGCACTCACAAGAGATGCAGAACAGTATGGCACATCAAACAGAATCCAGCTCCTATCAGTCACAGTACTACCTCTGTGGTCCATTCTAATAGCCAGCTTTGAGAAAGGTGTAGGGCACTTGATGAATGTTCACGCTCGCTGTTCTGCCGCATGCGTTCCACTGCTGATCGCTGTGCGTTTCAGTGAGCGTGAACATTCATCAACATTCTTCGGTAACGTGTGAATAGATACAGCCTTGCACGTTTTGTGATTCCAACAATCACTTCAGAGGCCAGTATCTGGTCAGTGCAGCTGGGTTTTAAACCTCTCAGTCCAACTGAGACACGGGTTCTTAAGTGTCCAACATAGAATAGATTATAGTCCTGCCATATGCATAATGGCACAATATATATGAAAAGGAAAACATAAATGTTAAAAAAGTCGGGCGGAGCCGAGCGCCAGACATGAATGGTCGCATCTCCTCGGAGCTCCGAACAAACAACATCAAAAATGCATTAAAACAAGACCCAACGGCACCTGCAGAGGCATATACTAGCCCCCAGTAAGCAGGCAACAGGCTTATGCCTTTTTTGTATCCACAAACGGGCAGAAAGACCCGACGGAAAACCGGGGCCTACACCGCCTACCAAGCCACGAGGTTAGCACAGGAACTCACTGCCCTGAGAGCACACCAGGACGCCTACCTGCAGACTGGTACAGCCGCACCTGATGACTACAGCATGGGCCGAAAATCCCAGAGACCCACACCAACACTGGCAGGACCACGCAGGACATAGGCGACCTGCTGCAAAGACCGATGGCGCCCAAGATGGTGGCCTCACCGGACCGCACAACTACCCTCCAAGATGAAGGAGAGCAATCTGGAGCTGAACAGGAGCAGTCAGTCGCTCACCCAACGTGGGAGCCACAACCTAACAGGAATAACCTCACACCGGCTACCAAACAAGACATAGCTGACCTGTTAAAAGAAATGAGACAAATGCACGCAACAGACATGGACCTTTTAAGGACCGAAATGCAGGCAGTAACTGCACGCACTCAAGCCACCGAAGCAGACATCCTAGACCTGAAACAGGAGGTAAATGGGGCTAAAATAACAAGTAATAGTAATGCAGACATCCCAGTCCAACCTCACCATGAGAATGGACCTAACAGAGGACCGCAATAGACGCACTAACTTACAATTAAGGGGGATACCGGATAGCGTTGACTCCACAGAACTACCCCACTACATCAGGCGCCCCACAGCCACACTCCTACCGCATGCTCAAGCCAACAAATTTACACTATACGGCTTCTTTAGGATCAGAAAAGCAAGACAAGCCCCAGCCACAGCTCCATAAGACGTCATCATCCGGTGCCACTCAGTAGCAGACAAAATCAGGCTCCTCACAGCATTAAGGGGAAAGAAACTGCTTGCATTCAAGTCTTCTCACATCACCTTCTACCAGGACTGAACAAGAAACACGCTGTTATGGGGCAGGTCCCTGGCCAAAGTGACGAGCCGCCTGCGCAAAGCTAAAATTGGTTATAAATGGACCCTTCCAAGGACTCTGACCGTTACCAGAAACGGTACCACACACAATCTCTCCTCATTACAGGAGGCAGGACAGTTCCTGCACGCACTGGGGATTCACACCGGACCCGCAGAACAAGAAACTCCCATGACATCACATACATGGGACCCTGAAAGAACGACCCCATTCATCCCCAGGAACAGAGAGAACCGGGGAGAACTGACCTGAACCATAAAAACTGTATCCAGCAAGCACAATGCATTATCCTGTTACTGCGTTACCTTTTGTTTTAATATACTGCCGTTATACACGCACCCTACAAGACTAACTCAAGCTACACCATGACTGCTGCTGACCCACCATCAGACGAGACTCACCCTAACACATAGAACACCATAAGCTCCAGGGAGGGTACACCCCCCCCTCAACTTCCTCGGTAAGGAGTCAAATACCAACCCACTGG